TGACGGTGCGGAGCCCCCGGCGGGCGGGCGCCGGCCGCGGCCGTGGAGAACTTGGCAGCGGGGCGCGGCGCCCATTGTCTCCCGGCCGCCGGCTCTATCCCGCGTGCCCCGCCGTGGGGGTCCCGGCCGCCCCGAGACACCCAGGTCGCCCCTCTCCGTTAGGTAGGCGGAAAGGGCCGCTCTCCCCGCTGCCCGTGCGGAGAAGGAATCCCAAAAGCACTCCGCCACAGTTGCCATCAGCTACATTGGGGCGGACACTTTGGAACTCGGGTTTTCTGAACCCTGACTTCGGGGATCCGCCCACTGCGCCACCTTGCCCAGTGACAAGGTGTAAGATCCACGGCGGTGGCCGCCGCAGCTCGCGTTTGTTTACTGGCCTTAAGGTCCGCCTCCGCCGCGCGTCGGTGGTTCGCGGGGAACCCCGAGGGCGCGTGTTACAGATGTCTCCGTTACCGAGTGCAAGCGCTGTGGGTCTGCATTTCAACAGGTGACCTTCGCGGCTTTGAGTAGCACCATGCTTATTTGATAAAAGCATAATGAAGCGTTTGAGTCCGTGTTCTGGTTCAGTGTTTTAGCTTCTGTATAAACAAACAGACTCAACAATTGGTCTCGAGAATGAAAGATTCCTATAATTTATCATGCCCCTAACTTGCCCTCTGAATCAGAGCATATTAAACACAAATGTGATGCTCTGTTGATGACTTGCAGAACTTGTCTGTGATACTGCTGTTGCCGGGTAGTACTCTTGGACATTCCGTGCTAGGAGTCGCTGGCGAGATATATTTCTAAGTCCTTTCTGCCATGTATTTTTGAGCATTTTTTTCCTCCCCTGTTATCTGTCGGTACTACTTGTTACTCTTCAAAGTGTCTCCCTAGAGTGGCTTCCTTGCCTTCTGTCTTCCAGACTGCCTTGGGTTGTGAAATCATCACGTCAGAATTACGTGTCTGAACTACAAGGCAAGCTAAGACGGTTGGATATTCTTATAATTGCCTTGGGGATCAACTAAGAATATGTGATTTGGCCTACGCTTTAGAAAGATCATTCCAACTACTTTGTGGTAAGTACACTGTGTGGAATAAAACAAAGGCAGGTAGAGCCACTTGTTTTATATTGGATGCTTCAACTTTTTTCTTTTTTTGGTTGTCCCTTAATTGTTTTTAAGATACATTGTTCGAAACTTTTTGTAGGTGCAACCATGCAGGAAAACCTCAGATTTGCTTCGTCGGGAGATGATATTAAAATATGGGATGCTTCATCTATGACATTGGTGGATAAATTCAACCCACACACATCACCACATGGAATTAGTTCAATATGTTGGAGCAGCAATAGTATCCTTTTTTTTTTAAAGTAACCACTTTTACTTGGCACTGCAACTAGTACCAGTGAAATTTTTGCATATGACACATGATGAGAAGTGTATTTTACTTGGCTACTGTGTAAGGTGAAATAGTAATTTTGGAAAATAGTACATGTGAGTGCATTTTGATTTTCTCTGTTGATTTTTTTTGCAAAAAATTTAATTGCTACCCACCTTATTCAGAAACAGTGCTTTTACAAAAATCGTATTTTAGTTTCTAGATCCAGACTATAAATTTGTTGTCCTATCAAGAATTCATTATGGAACCAAATGGAACGTAATAGTTTGTGGCAGGCAGGGAAACTTCTAAAAGTTTAGAAATGAGGTTTGGCATTTGTATTTGGATATTTGTGAATCTGATGTACAAACTAATAAAAGAGAAATAAGATGGCAAGAGATAAAAAAAATTATCCTGCATCCCCATCTTACTGATGTTCTGTTTGTGTTTCTCTTTCTATACATAATGGAAACATCATTTCTTAGACAGATACCGTGAAATTGCATACATTGAATTTCCCTAAGCTTTTCTAATATCCCCCCTGGTCTGGTGAGTGAATCCTGTTTCTCACCCTGACAATATGGACATTTTAGTTCTGACAATTCTTTGCTGCAGGGGCTTTCCTGTGCATGGTGGGGCGTTGAGCAGCTTTCCTGGCTCCTACCCACTAGTTGCCTGTAGCTCCCAGTCTTGGCCTACTGAAAGTAGCCTTTTACCAACTACCCAGTGTTCAGTTACCCAATTTTGTCTTTTTTTCACGGCACTTTCTACTACTGTATGAAACCAAAAATGTCTTCAGAATTGTGAGAATTACCCCCAGTTCAGAACAACTCCTGTATTTATATAGCACTGCACTGTCATGACTCTATGAAGAAGTCCTGGGTAATTGGTGTGTTAGAAATTATTCTTGGGGCTGGGGATTTAGCTCGGTGGCACAGCGCCTGCCTGGCAAGCGCGAGGTCATGAGTTCCATTCCCGGTACCGGAAAAAAAACAAAAAACAAACAAACAAACAAAACCAAAAAAAAGAAATTATTCTTGTGTGAAGCACATACACTATTTTAGCAAAAATTAAGTTTTAACAGTACCAGAATATTAACATTCTACTTCCTGATTAAAGAAAATATAAAAAAAATTAAAGCTTTAAACTTTCTATGACAAATATCGATACCAAATATATAACAAAAATGACAACTTTTCTTCTTGAATTTAATTTACTTAGTTCCTTGATTGTATATTAAAGTAATGAAATACTTTGTTGCTCTGCTGGTCAAGCTTAGGGGGAAGTGACTACATTTTTGATGAATTCTTAAATACATAGAGATAGATATTTTAGTAGTAGTAGTAGAGATAATATTTTAAAGACTGGTAGATGCATGAACTTGCTGCCTTCTATTTCTAGATTTTCATTACGCTTAGAGCTTAATTTTTTCTATTACCTTATAAGAGACAAGGAGCACTTCTTAATAAGATTTAGTATTTTTGATTTATTTTTGTACCAGGAACCGACATTTACTGGTATGTCACTTAATGGTCTATCACCAAACTAACGTGGCTGTGAGTTAGTGTTGTGTGACTATTGTAATGTGCTCCATTTCTGTATCATCTCATGTCTGCATGGATGTGCACTGACAGCCTTCAGGTAGTCATATTCCTGACAAGTTCTGATCTCTTCTATGGGTAGTTAGTTACTGAAGACCAAAGCATTCGTAAACCCAGCACCTTGGGGTCCTTGTAGCGTAGATTCCAAGAATGAGATTAGTGTAAGGTGCCCGGGAAGCTAATATTTTTGTTTTGATTTTTGGTTTCTTTAAGTGGTGTTCTCATTTTTGTCATGTCTGTTTGTTTGTTTGTTTATTTATGTCTGTCGTTTTTTTGAGGCAGGGTCTTGCTATACAGTTCAGACAGGCCCTGAGCTCACTTTAACTCCAAGACACATTTAAAAAGTTCTTACCCCATTGTATTATCATGTTTTAGTCCTTTTCTGTGGTAAAGAAGCCAAGGAAACAAGGGAAATGCTTTTTTTTTCCAGCCCTGTACTACAGTTTTATACTACCTAGGTATCTTGGTTACTTTTTTCTCATTGCTGGGACAAAATACCTGATGCCCCGAATTAAGGAAGGAGAGGTTTATTTATCTCACAGTTTGTGGAGGTTTCAGTCCATACTCAGCTGGCTCCAAGGCTGGCACATGGCAGAGGGCAACAGTTTACAGCGGCCAACACAGGAAAAGCAACAAGAGCAAAAGGGAGGTGCGGGGGAGAGCAAGCTTTTTTCCCTCCCTTACATTGTATGCAGGCTGCCCACCCCAGGGTGGGTGTAGCACTCATACCCTTAACCCCAGCATTAGACCACGGATCAATCGCAAAGTCTAGAAGCCTACCCCATGACCCCATGAGGCTTCTGGGGGGACATCTAGACACAAACTATAGCACTAGGTAAAAATGATTTTGTTTGAATCATACAATAAACTTAAAGTCCATGGTCTACTCACACAATATCTGAATGTTATACAGCTACCCTGAAGTAGTGCAGGTAGAATTCAGTATCTGATCAGCTTCTCTCCACTGCTTCTATGCACAGATTTTGCGTGCTCAACAGCGTAGGATTTAAACTTACGGTATTTGTTATACTTCTCAAAATTATGCTTTAAAAACAAAAAAACACCCAGATTCTTTTTCTTTATTGTATTATATCATCGTTTTAATTTAAAAATACTTGGTTTGTCTTAGGTTTACTGATTACTCCAGATATTTTCTGTAAATAAGGTAAAATTAAGTGAAATTTTTGTTATATTTAATTTAAAATAAAGCTAAAATATAACTCTTCCCTGACATTTATTTAACTACACTTATGTATATTGACTATAGTTATTGTTATATTCATTTCTAATACACGTAAGTTTGAGATATACTGTCACAAAAATTCCAGTCCTGAGAAAATAAGAGATTTCATTTTTTTTTTTAGTGGAAAAACTGACTAGTGCAATATTCGCTTCCTTGTTTAAATCGTTAGCAAGCACTGGATTAATAAATAAGTATCTTGAGCAGTTTTGGTAGATGAAAAGACTGATTGATATTTGCTGATGCTACTTTCATCATACTCTCATTCTTGATGGATAAAATTAGACCTTCTGGCCTACCCTGAAAATGGAGTAGTATTTCACGTGGGTTAAATAGCTTTCAAGTGATAAGCCAGCCAGGAGGGCTAGTTCTTTCCCGCAGTCGCAGTAGTAAAGGGAATTAGTAATTAGTAACCGGAGCCATTTTGGAAGGCTAATGTATAAGCTATATTCACTGGCTTGTCTTCTCAGCGTTTACTTGTGTGATTGCATTTTTATAATGAAAGTCTAGTGCTTGTAGATGTTCATGGATTGTTTGATGTTCCATAACTCTTCATCTAGATAACTTTCTAGTAACAGCATCTTCCAGTGGTGACAAAATAGTAGTTTCAAGCTGCAAATGTAAGCCTGTTCCACTTTTGGAGCTTGCTGAAGGGGTAAGTTTTATTTATTTTTTAAATTTTCATTTAGAATCTTAGTTCTGCCTGTGTGGCAATTGCTTGTGTATTGTGGTGCTTGTAATTAAAAGTAAAGGTGCTTGGAAGCATCATTCTTAACCTAAATTCAAAATGATACTCTAACACTTAAAGGTAAGTTATGTGTGCTCACTGAAACGTCTTTAGGTACAATATACGCATCCTAGGGGAGCAGTTGAGGACTTGGATTTCATTAATGAGGCACTTGCTTTTTCATGCCTCTTTGTAGATGGGATCCTGTTGCTTCCTGACTTAGAACTCTGCAGTACCTAGGCTGTTAGTTTGGTCTCACCATATGAACCCTAATGATGGAACTACTCTCAGTGACCTTGGACTCAGGACAGGCAGCAAAATGCCCATGTGTGGTGGTAGCCCTGTACTGCAGATTCTGTCCCTCTGCTATTCAGGGCCTGCCTGAACCTCCCGTAGTCCCTCCTTGAATGGGATGGCTTTATCAAAGTGAGCTTTGCTCCTACGGCACATAAGCGAAGCTCTCATTGCATATTGTTTCTTTACTTTTTTCTTGTATGAGTCAATCCCTGTGATTCAGGGTAATACTGGCTTCTATATTTTCATTCTCACTCCTTGGAAATTGTTTCTTTTTAAAATAGGGTAAGTTCTGAATATAAGGTTACAGGTAGTTGGTAACTTGTCCTTCAGTGGCAAAATTTGCATAGCAGACTTTAAATTATTATAAATAGTCATAGTTTTATATGCTGTGATAGGTAAGGTGGTCCACTTGGAAAACAGCTTAATAATAGTATATAAGCTCAGCTAATTTAAAAGGACTTGCAGTGTTTAAGAGTTAAATGTTTTTGACATATTGGGGGTACATTTTGATATTTTGGTGCATGTATACAAATGCAGTGTGTAATGATCAGATCAGGTTGATTGCATGTCTTTTACCGTAAAATTTATTGTTCCTTTGCACTGGGACATTCAGAATCTCTCTGCTAGCTATTTTGAAATACATGGTTTTCAGCCTTAGGTACCCTAGTGTGCTATCGAACATTAAAAGTCATACTTCCTGGAGAACTTCTGATTTTATCAGTCTTCTAAATTAAATAGGAGGTGGGATTGGCCTGAAACTTAGTTCCTTCCCACAGATAGAGGCTTGGGCGAAAATGCCTGCAAAGGGCAGAAATGGAATTTGGGCACGCTGCCTGTTCAAATAGAGCTAAGTAAGATTGAGGCGGAGAATGTCCCTGGTAATGAGCAAACGGTATTCTTTTGAGAGTAGATCAAACTTAGTCATCTGTGGATCCTGTCGGATATGGGGAGCGACAGTGGCATTTCATATGAGTGTCAAACAGTTTCTTCTACTTTCACTGCTGTTCTTCACTACTACCTCATTTATGTGCATCATGCCTTAAAATCAGTGAATCAGTAGTGGGGACCTTTTTTAATGTTTAAAATTAACACGATATTTGCAAGTGTGACATAATACTAAGGAGTTTATGAATATTACTAATTAGTTGCTATAACTCTTAGCCCTCTTTCCCACATTTAAGAAATCACATCAGAATGCACTGGATAAAAGTGAGATTATTATAGTTCTAATTTTGAATCTCTTGTAACTTACTTATAAAAATATTTTGTAAACATTTGTTCTTTAGCCTGTACTGAGAATTAGTAACATTACTGTGTAACTGTTTTTTTGGATGAGATTCAAGTCTTGTAGCTCATGAGCTGTTTGAGGAATTAGATCGTTTCTGCATGGGAAAGTAAGAGTTCATCCTGCTTATTTTAAAATTACAATGAAACTTTAAGTTCATGTTTATTTATAATTTTGTATTTTACTTCTTTAAAGTATAGAGATTGATATTGACAATATTGTAATAGATGTTATGGGCTACTAAATAGCCTAGACACTTGACCAACTTATTCTTAGATTTTTAAAAATTTTGCCCATTGTGTTATGTCAGTGATGGCGAACCTTTTAGCGCTTTTAGTGCCAAAACAGCTGGCTGCAGCACACGTGCCATAGGTTCGCCACCACTTTCTTATCCCTTGGGGGTACAGGATTCCTGTAATAACCACACAGTTTCTATTAATTATTTAAGTTCATTAGCTACATTAATAATACATTCACATAATATAAGTCAGCTGTAACTAAGCCAGTTGTAAGTAAGCCAATTTTATCCTGAGCCCTTAATAATTATAGTTGTGATAATTGATGCCATAGTATATGTCTTTGGTAAGCACTGTTCTATTTTATATTTGTTAAATGTTATTTTGATAGTTCTTAGAAAACTGTTCTGATTTGCGGTGACATTCTGATTGTGTATCTTACTAGTCTTTAGATCAGAGTCAGTTTCGAGGATACCTATAAGAAAATTATAACAGCTGTGCTAAAACACTGATAAAATATGCATCCTGCAGTTTTTAATGTGTTGGTTGATATTCTTGGTCCAGAGCTGGAAGAAACATTTACTGTCAACTAGTCCAACAGGTCTGTGTGAGGGGAACCATCTACTCTCTTAAGAATATCTTGAGCAGATATTTTTGAGGTTCATGAACTCAGGGTAAGAACAGTAGATCTAACCCTCATCTCTCATTTCTCAGATGAGTAGCATACGTCCAGAAATGGGGGGTTACATGTCTAAACCTACGTAGTAGCTTGCCTTTTAACTTAGACTAAGTCATGATCTTCACCACCCCCATGGCATTCAGCTGTAGGTGAGAACAATTACTGTAGCTCTGTAGCGCCTGCATTGGTTGGATAGGGAAACGCGTGGAGCCCTGTGCTCTGTAGTGTAATACACTTACTGAGGGCACTACCGGATAGGTGACATTCATTGATACTTGTGTGAAGAACTTGATAACCTCTGTATTTCAGCCATTTGCTTCATAAATACTTATTGACTGTAGATACGGTTCTTAATGAAACTGATATTCTGGTAGGAGAATAAACTGTAAGCCACAACATCCAGATATTGGTAACTTGTAATGCAGAGAACTAAAATAAGATATTGCCGTAGCAACTTACACTAGGAGGCTAAGGGAGGTTTCCTGAAGAGTTGCTATCTGTTGACTAGAAGCCATCCAACTAAGGTTCAGGGACCTTAGCCTTCCAGGCACAGCTGTGTAGAAGCCTTGAGGCAAATATAAGACTGTTATGTTTACAGAATGAAAGGTCAGTATGGCTGGAGAATTAATGAAGGGGGAAGAAAATGGTTAAGAGATGAGGGAGGTGGGACTGAGAAGAATAAGGCTCTGAAAGCCAGGCTAACAGGTTTGGAGTTTATTCTAAATGTGACTGGAAGCTACTGAAGAGCCGTAGAGAGAGAAAGAGGCTCTGATTCACATTTCTGAAAGTTCACTCAGTGTTCTTTATGAGAGGTGGAATACTGTATGGGGAGCAGAAACAGAATCAGGAGTGCTGATTCTACTTCTAGGGTAGGGTGCTGCTGCTGTGGTTTGGCAAGGTTTGGGTTAGTACAAGTAGTAGCTATAGGTAAAGGGTAATGCAGGGTTTATTTTAAGATCAGAGTTTATGGATTGTGGGGAGGAAGAGCGAAGAATCAAAGATTATTTAGGATTTTTATTTCGAGAACCTGGATGGATGGTGACCTTACAGATGAAGAATGTGAAGTCCGGTTTGTTTATTTATTCACATAGAGCTGGAGATCAAATCCAGAGCCTCATCCATGCTTTGCAATGTTTTACCACTGAGTAGCATCCCCCTAGTCCCTGACATCAGGTTTTGGTGGCATAACTGAGACGTGGGCCTCTTAGGGTGAGTTTTACTGAGAGACTTAGGACAAGTATCTTGACTTGCTTAAAAATTTTCCCCATCTATAACATGAGAGCTGTAAACTAGACGTTCTTTACAAGCCCCTCGTCTAGCATTTTCTGAATTGGGGATTGATTTTTAAGATATTCTGTGGAGCTACAAGAACAGGTTTAATAGAGGGGAAATATTATATTAAATGTTAAGTAAGCCCGCTGGGAGGTCAGGACTTGCTGATGTTGCCTAAGCTTTGCCTGTCACCACCCTTCAGTGGAAGAGAGTGCTGACCTGATTTCCTTAAGACCTTGTTTCATTGAGACCTTTGCCAGCTGTTGGATCCACATGGATGATGAGAGCTGAATCTTCACAATTTTCTAGGTGTGACTGGAAACCATTGGTGATTTGTTAGTATGTGTTGGCATGTTTGTGGTATGTAATTCAGAATGTAATTTTATTGTATTTATCATGTGCTTATTGTTGGAGGAAATGATAGTCATCACTGGGCTCTAGTAAATTAGCTTTTTTTTTTTTTTTTTTTTTTAAAAACAGCAACAGCAGACATGTGTTGATTTAAATTCCACATCTATGTATTTGGCAAGTGGAGGCCTAAATAAGACTGTTAACATTTGGGATTTAAAATCAAAAAGAGTTCATCGATCTCTTACGGTAAGTGCTTTTCTTTTAAATCTGTAATAGAATGGATATTTTCTAGTGTATTAAGTTACCAAACGTTTTTGAGCTTTTGTAATAAAATTAAGGTGTTTCAAAATTGAAGTGAGGTTAAGGGAAGTAAAGGTACTATTTAGCCAAAAACACTCTTTTGTCATTTTTTCCTCCATATAGTGTATATTATTAATGCATATTGTCAGTGTTGGAACTTTTTCGTGTTTTTTTTGCTGAGTTCTACTCTGCTGCCTCCAGTTTCTTCTGAACTGTGGTTTGTTGTCATCAGGGATTTTTTAAAAGCACTTTGGAAAAATGAAAATAGTTGTGGAATGATAGTATTAAATCCAGGTAGTACTGGGGATTTAACTTTTGAGTTCTGTAAAATTTTTTGGCTGCTGCTCTTTGTGTTATTTTTGCATATGTATTTTCTACTTGGTAATGAAAATATTTCCTAGAATAATTTACTAATTAAAATTAATGTTTAATTAGCTTTTTTTTTTGGTCTTTTTGAGACAGGGTTATAATGTGCAGTTCAGGCTGGCCTTGAGCTCCGTTTGTAGTCCAGGCTGGTTTTAAACTCACAACGATCCTCCTGCCTCAGCCTCCTGAGTGCTAGGATTACAAGTGTGCGCCACCACAGCTGGCCTAGTTAGCTTTTGGCAGTTTCAGAAAATAAAATATTCATCTCAAGAAAGTCTGTAGTTAGGACTTTTTCAGAATTCTACTTTTAATCATTTTATCTTTTAATGTTTACAGGTTTATCTTTTAAAAATTTTCACTTTCTGCTATTTAAAAAGGTTGATGTAAAGTGGTTAAACATTTTGTATGTTTGTACACATAAAAACATGCGCATCAGAGAAAAGGCTGCCTTTCACCTGTCTCTCGTGTACTCATTGTCTGGGGTCAGTGATGACCAGCCCAGCCTCTGGCCAGGCCCTCACCTCCTTACGAATAGTTCCACCTCCAGATCATTTTGTAGCAAGTACCAGACATCATTTTTGTTGCATGTCTTAATGTCATTGAGTTAATTCTTACTAGAGAAGTGGTATGTTGAAGATTGATTTTCTGTTCACCTGAATTGAAAAACAATCTTATAATTGCTGCTTAAATACAACCCTTGGAAGTACATCACTTTAAGTATAGTTAAACTTGTAAGAGTATTAATTGTAAGATTTCTGCTGTGGAATAAATGACTATGGAAAGGTACTATGGGTCTGTGCAGTGTCAGACCAGCCCTCTGGCTTGAGAAAGTAGGAACAGGAGGAAAAGTACTCAAGGACATGCCCTTTGAAGTGGAGATCCGTTTAACCAAGAGCTGCCTAGGACCTACGTGTTTCTGATGCTGTGGAGGACATTGGATTTACAGTGATGGGGAGGAAAAGAGTGCATGGTCCTTGTCTGTGCTGAAAAACAGACAGAGCGAAAATATACATGGTTATGAATGGTCAAAAGAAAGAAAAGTTGTCACTAATGAGAATGGTTCGCTTCGGTGCATTCTTTGAAATGCCAGCCATTGTACTTACAAAGGTTTATTTTTCTTATCACAACAGTGTTTTGGTCACTTTGCTCCTTGCTGGGACGAAATCACTGACTCCCACAATACAGAAGAAGGGCGGTGTCTTTTGGCTCCTGTTGTAGTCCCTCGTTGGCTGGCTGCAGGCAGGGAGGCATGGAGGAAGGGCTGGCGAGGAGAGCTGCTCACTCCTGTGGCAGCCAGGTGTCAGAGTAAAAGGGAGGGTCCGGGAGGGAGGGAGAGGTACCCTTCCCCGCCACGCCCCCGTGATCCTCCTCTTCTCGCCAGACCTCACCTGACAGCAAGTCACCTGTACAGCCCCATAACGCGGATCACCTTCTACACAGATGAGGCTTTGGGCCGCCTTTAGGTCTCAACTGTAACAACTCTGCAGGACAGGGAGCATTATTTCTGTGTACAGGTAGAGAAAATGATGTTAAAGACCTCGTGCTGGATCAAACAGCTAACTAGCAAGGACAGATGGTAGGTGCAAGCACAGATACTATTCACTAGTCTTTTACCTTATGAAATACTTGAATTAAAGCTACCTAGGGGGATGTACCTACTTTGAATAAGGCATGTCTAGAATGTTGAGAAGCGATTAGAGTTGCTAGTCATTTTTTTACATATTTAAGAGCTCCACATACTCTGTCTCCCTGCATTGCATCTTCTTTTTGCTTGCACTTCTTAAGCGTTCCAAGTTATACCGTTTCTGTTTTGTCTTCTTAATGTTTTTTTGGTCTTATTGTTTGAGATTCTCAGAGTGCTTTGTTGCCTCATTCATTCAATTAAGAAGAATTTGACTGACCAGTGGTGATAATGAGATGTCTTAGTTTTTGCCTTTGGATATTTTCTCTCCAGCTTTCTCTCTGCTGGTAGCACAGTTTCTGGTATGTGGTTAGTAAATGTTCACTGAATCACTCATTTTCCACAGTTGGGATTAGGAAGACACCTGCCCCTTTGTAAAGCCATAGAAATTATATTGAACCCCAAATTCTTAATTCCGCAAATGGGTACAGTGCACAAAATATTCATTATTCCTTTTTTTCTTCTTACCAGACGCCCCTCTCTTTCAGGTATTTGTATCTTTGATTTAGGAAAGGAGCACCTTTGAAAATGTTTGAAGACATTGGAAAAAGTTTTATTATACGTGGATAGCACAGCTTCTATTCTTGATATTACATAAATTATTAGGTACCAGTCTTTGTTTATCTTAAGATCTGACACTAAACTGTTCAGAACTCCTGCTGATCCCGATCACTTATGTGTTCCTTCTAGATATCTCTACTTTGATGTTGAGAAATAGTACTTTGAACTCAGTTTAAAACCCAGTACTAAAATAATAAGTAAATGATACATACGTACATGTATACATACCTACCCAATACTTTGATTTCCTCAAAGCAGGTTCTCATTAGATTTGAGAGGCAGTCTTGTAGCTGGGAGGACGTAGGCTTTGGGGCTTCACCTGAAATGCATCTTGGCTCCATCACTTAGCAGTTATGGAGCAGATACAGGTTTCCTAACCTGTATGTACCTCATCTGTATGTGGGCAAAATGACTCTGTCACTGGGGAGTTTCAAAGGATCGCATAGTAATTAGGAAGCTCCGTGCACTCACAGGCGCTCAGTGAATGCAGGCAGCAGCTGTATGGTCGTTTGGTTCTTCCTGTATTCCGTTTTGCGATGTCTGGTGTCTTTGTCCTTTTCCTGACCTACCTCTTGTCCTTTCTTTAAGGCTGAACTCAAACCTTATTCCTTCCTCTGCCAAATCGGTTCACACTGATACCTCTCTTTTCTCTGACACTTTTCTTTCCCACTCATTGAGCATTTGTTCATCCTTTTCATGTTAATTTAAATGTCTTGTCTTCTCAGGTGAACTGTAATACTCTCAAGGGCAGGCACTCTCCCAATAGCTCATAGTGAATGTTACTTGTCAGCAGGAGTGAGTCCTTTCAGGTAGACGCTTAGCTAATCAGCCTTTTACGCTGTCTCTTGTTTCAGAGCACTGGGACCCTTAATGTGAGTCTGAAAAGGGAATCTGTTTCCTGAGAGAATTTGGGGTTGCTTATATAGTTTCTTACTCATCTGAGTAACTTTTTTTTTTGGTTTTTCTCTGGTACCGGGAATCGAACTCACGACCTTGCGCTTGCCAGGCAGGTGCTGTGCCACTGAGCTAAATCCCCAGCCCCTCATCTGAGTAACTTTTAGAGGGAAATGTTTAAGTGGATACTACACTTACAAGTGTGACAAGTGTAACACTTACTATATGAAAATGGGCTGTTTGAAGGTTATAGGGCACTGTATTTACCTGGGTTTTCTGTCTTTCAGGATCATAAAGATGAAGTAACTTGTGTAACATATAATTGGAATGATTGCTACATTGCTTCTGGATCTCTTAGTGGTGAAATTATTTTACACAGTATAACCACTAATATATCTAGTACGCCTTTTGGCCATGGTAGTAACCAGGTACAGTATATGTTTATTCAAAGTAAAGTCGATAAGATAGATTTTGAATTATTTTATATGTGACAATTAGTTTAAGCTTTTAAATGTTTTAGATTTGTATTTAGCTGGCTTGAAAAACTTGTAGCTAATTTTTAATGGTGTTATGAGAAACGTTGAAGTAAGCTAATATATTTTAGATTAGGGTGCTTACTTGAGTTTGATTTTATAATTGAGTGGCATCCTCCTAGTATACTTAACAAAATGCAGCTAGTTAAGCCTAAAACAGGGATATTAATCTTTCTGTGGCATTCCTGTCATAGAGGTCTTGCATACTGCAAACTGTGTTAGCTACAAGATGTATACTCGTTAATAAATTCCATTGCATAGACCTGAGGTAAGGCAGAAAGTAATTGGTGTGGTTTTGGTTTTTTTCAGCATATGATAATTGACTTATTCATATATTTCAGGTTAATTGTGGAGTGGGGAAGCTTTAAAAAGAAAAATTACTCAAATATTTTCCTTTGTATACACTTAGCCTGTAAAAAATTCTTTTAAAGACTGAAAAGTTTCTTAAGAAATGTAATTCTTGGCTTACTTTTATGTGATTGTCTACAGAAATTTCCAATAAGGTATCTTCTTTTAATCCTTTTTCTTGCAATCACTTTGGCCATAACTATTATCAGATAAAATACGGAAATTCTTCACTGTTGGAAAGCAATTTTTAAAATCATTCGAATAGTATTTAGTATTGAAGGAAAATGTAATGAATAGTAAGTCAACAAGAAAAAGCCCTGCTTTATGTGTTAGGAAAAAGGAGATATGCATATAAATGATATTATGAGTGATAATGCATGAGAGGCTTACAGTGATTCAGAACAGTGGAGAGAAAGCTTTCAGAATAAAATAGGGAAAATTGAAGAAGGGAGGATTTCAGCTGAGTTAATGCTTAATTGACTTCTTTGCTTTGACTATGAAAGTATAGACTGGACCCTTGGCCAGTTATTGGATGCGAATGTATTTAGGGTTAGCTTTTAATGTGTCAGCATTATAGTTAGAATGGTGGCTTGTTTCTTTGTTTTCAGTATGTTACCATAAGAGGAAAACATGTGTAATAAGTGTGTGAATATATAAGTAGAGATGATACAAGCTTTTAATTGGCTAGTACAGAACTTTTGGAGGAGAGTATTGTATATGGAGGAAATCACACAGATAAAATTGAGAAAGGAAAGTACATCACTTTTGTGTTGGATCGATGTGAGAAAAGATTAGGAAGATAAGTATAATAAAGACTTTCTAAAAGACATTGAAAGATAGACATAATATTTGGCTTCTGTTTTGGAAACCACTTAGGGACACTAATCAGACTTTAATTAATTGAGTGTCAAACTTGAACTTGTGATCTTCCTGTCTCATTCCCCTAAGTAGCTGGGATTGCAAGTGTGTTCTGCCTTGCTGCTACATCCAACAAAAGTTCTTTGTATCATTCTTTTCTTTTATATTTCCTTTTTTGTGTATGTTGTTTTGAAGAATCTTGCCTGTCTTAAGTTTTAAGATACTATCTGCTGTAGTTTTAATGTGTTCTTCAAGATTTATGTGTTGGATTATATCAGGTCTGTGGACCAATTTAAGAAGAACTATCTTAACAATATTGATTTTTTAAATCTTTGAATCTGGTATAATTTTTCCATTTATATAAACCTTCTTTAATTCTTCTCAGCAGTGTTTTGTTGTTTTGCTGTAGAAATCTTGTATTATCTTTTGGTGGATTTATTACCTGGTATTGGATTTTTGATAGTGTATTATAAACTGTATTCTTTCCTGTTAAATTTTATTTTTCACTACTCTGTGACTTGGTATACAGAAATGCAGTTTGTATTGAATATCACCCTTTTACCTAGGAACATGCTAAATTTCGTTAGTAGTTTTATAGATTTTTTTATTTTTGTACATTTTGCAATTTATATGCTATCACACTATCTGTAAATAATAATCTTTTTTTTCTTTTTACTTTCCAGTCTTTACACATTTTGTTTTTCTTTGTTGCATTGACTAGGATCTCCAGTCCAGGGTTGCATAGATGTGGGGGTAGTGGGTATCTTTGTTTTGTTCCCAAATTCAGGAACATTCACATTTCAATACCAGGCATAATAGTAATTGTAAGAGTTTTTGGTGAGTTTATTTTTTTAATCTTATTGAATTGGCAGAAGTTATTCATGGCTTATGTGGGCCAAACTTTCTATTTATGTTGGAAATTTTAAACTTAGGCTCTACTAATTCATAATGTTTTATTTCTGTAGTCCATGCATATTACAGACAGAACTTACTGTTTTTACTTTCCTTTTTTTATTCTGCTTACACTCACCTTTGGAATTTATTAAGAAAGACACTTTAGATGTTACTACTTGTTACTTTTTACTACCTTTTAAAGATTTAATTGAAATTACTGAATTTTAAGAAGTATACCCATCCCTTATTTTTTCATTGATTCATATAATTTAGCATCTTACTGAATGCTGATTATGTTGCAAGCACTAGTTTAATGCTGTGGGTATGGCTTTGAATGAGACATCGTTTACGTTCTAGTAGTAGCATAAGCAAGTAAGTGGGCAGTTAAAGTAACGATGTATTAGGAAAGTGGTAAACTGCAGGGGTCCAAGGGAACATAAAAGGGAGGGTATCTGAGCCATTTAAGAAGTCAGGAACAACATTTTAGAGGGAACCATGTCTCAATGGCAGCGTGAGAAAAAGTCCAAGTCATTCTGACCTGGGGTAGGGAAGGGAACAGGATGTAGGTAGTGAGAGGATTTGGAAAGAAATTATTACCATTTATTGTATTTTAAGCACTGTGATCATTGATTTTTCATTACATTCTGTCCTTCAAGCTTTGCTACCAGTTTGTGGGGATGTGTTAATTCCTTTTTTACAGTTGAGAAAATGAGATTCTAGGACTTTCAGAGCACAGAACATTTAACGGTTTTGAAGATGACATCTTCTAGAGCGGTAGCAGAGCTTCCTTTTGGGTCTCTCTGGCTCAGGAATGGCTGTGTAAGAATGTGTATTTGAGGATCCAGAGCTTCTGAGAACTTTGTAGTATTCTCTTGTCACCTAATGCAAAAGTCTACAGTTTACTTGTATCTCTTTCACAACATAAAGAAATATTTTTTAAAATTCTAGGTGATAGATTGCTGTGCTGTTGATTTTAAAAGAATTTTCATTGAGCATTTCACACAGGAGAACTGAATCAAATTTATCTTCCAGTTTAGAAAAACAGTAATGCTTAAAGCTTATCTCTTGTCCAAGGTTAGATAAGCCAGAACTTGAGATTTTCCTGTGCATCCTGTCCTCCTCGGTCATCTGCACTTCTTCGGGTATCTGCACTTCTTCGGGTAGGATCTTCGGGTATAGCTTTTCATGGAAGGTCTCGCATTTCTTGGGTGTGCTCTAGGGTAAAGCGCTTAGCTAGCTGTATGAACTTGAGCAAGTCACTTAACTCTCCACCTCCCTTTCCTCATCTGCCAATTGAGAATAATAATATGTTTTTGACATTTTTTAAATGGCTAAAGGAGATACTGAAATTGGTCACAGTCCTGAATGTATCGTAAGAGGTCAGTGGTGTTATTAGCGGCTATTGTGAATGTTCAGTGAAGGATTATACCAGTCCATGGAAACAGCTTTTATGATTTACTTTACTGGACTGATTTGAACATCTTTAGGTTTCACGCATTCCCTCCACACCCATACTAGTTTACCTGTTGCAACTTGGCCCAGTAATCGTACTTCATGTCCTAGGCTTATTTGAGAACATAAGAATGTATTCATTTCCCTCTGATACACCATTAAAACAGATATGTGGGTTTGGAAGTAGGAGTTGGCCTCTTTAAATGTGAGGATGCAGTCCCAATTTTCTTACTGAGGAAAGTTCTGAGTTTTATGATTCTGTATACTAAAGCATTCCTTTTACATGAATGAAATATTTGAAGTATTTTAAAAGTAATTTTCTAAAAACAGTTCAGTTGCACCTTATCTATTGTTGATCAAAAGCACAGGGTTGCTACTTGATCATTCATTTGAAAAAATACTAAGATTTCAAAACATAAACTTCTTAAATTTAAACAGTGTTCATGAAAATTTCAAGTCCATCAAAAGTTGACATTTTGAATTCAGGTACACTTTTTTTCAGCCTGATTTCTGTGTTGGGTTATTGAGAAAACAGTAGTTAGAACACAATCATGATTAAATTGAAATTTTTCTTATTTTTGTGTCTGTGATTTGAAATACTTAATAATGATCAAGTTGGTTTCTTAGTGAAAGTGACAAATCCTTGGAGTCCCAGTGAATCCACATCAGACTGAATTTCATATTAGAAATGAGATTGCCGGAATATATTTAGAATCTTACTTTGAAATGTCTGAGCTGAGTTGAAGCTATTAGTTTCATGTAGCTCGCAGTGTCTTTCCCGGAGTGAAAAAGGGCCTTGCTGCTTCTGCGTCTGCCGGGGCTGACAGACTTTCTTGCTTATAATTGCATGTCAGTTTTTGGTCAGTTTCTCAGCTTAGGTGCTCACATAGATTAACTTGTGCTGCCTTTCTCAAACTGTGCCCTTTTCCAAAGCAGTTAAAAATGCAGATCCATTTTGTTGATTCCTTAGATTAAAAAATGAATTTTAGATATAACCGGTGAGATTCTGTGTGTAACATAATGATTCTATATATAATATCATGAAATACACATTAAATCCTCTTACTTTTATTACATGAGAGGTTTGGTATTTTATGTATACATGTTGTGTTACTAAGCCTACTTGAGAGATCTGATAAATGTAACTGTTAATTACATTTTTAAAAGAATTATTGTGTCGAGAGTGGATTTGGGCTGAGGGTTCAGCTCAGAGGTAGAGCACATGCCCAGTGTGCGCCAGGTCCTGGGCTCAGTCCTAGGACTGCAAATAAAATAATGAATTTAAGTCTAATTTGGTTCGTCTGCTTGGCTCTTAGGTGTATGCCTGAATTTATACTAAAAAA